TTTCTTTCTTTCTTTCTTTCTTTCTTTCTTTCTTTCTTTCTTTCTTTTTCTTTCTTTTTTTCTTTCTTTCTTTCTTTCCCTCTCTCTTTCTTTCATTCTTTCTTTTTCTTATTTTTATTTTTAAAATTAATTTATTCATTTTACATTCCATTCATAGCCCCTCCCTCCTCCCATTCCCACCCTTCCTCCCACTTCCCCCCTATTCCCTGTCCTCTAGTCCTCAGAAAAGGGAGAGCCCTCCTTTCTCACCCACTGACCCTGAACTTTCAACTTTCCTCAGGACTGCCCGCATCCTCTTCCTCAGTGGCCTGGCAGGACCACCTCACTCAAGAGAAGTGATCAAAGGACAGGCAACAGAGTTCCTGCCAGAGATAGCCCTTGGTCCCCTTGCTAGGTGACCTACATGGAGACTGACCTGCCTATGGGCTCCATCTGAACAGGAGTCTTCTTCATGCATGGTCCTTGGTTGGTGCATCAGTCTCTGCAGGTCCCCCGGGCCCAGATTTGTTGGGACTTTCCTTCAATTATACAGAAACTGAAAGACACAGGAGGCTGGGATGTGTGAGCACACCATGAGCGGAAGGGACTGCACTGATTGATGCACAGCTGTGCAGTAGTAAGCAATACAGCAGCTAGGTGAGAAAGGGCAGAATTAATGACATCCAAGTTATATCTAACTGGAGGACTAAATTCCTAACTAGTTGATATGGAGTGTGTAAACATTATGCAATTTAAATAGCGTTAGTTGGTGAGAAAGAAATAGAGCAAAGAGAGGGAGGAACAATGAAAAATCTGTTGCAGTGAATGTGAACAGAATTCATGAGCATGATTTGAGGTCTGACTCTGGCCGTTTCTCCGGTGTGCATGTATGTCAGCGTGTTTCACATAATGAAAATCGTGCATGTAGATTTACTTGCCAATATAAAATTAATATGTAGATGATTTTAAAGGCTTATTTATTTATTTCTAATTATGTATATGTGTGTGGGGAGGTTGGGAGTGGGGACATGTGCTCATGAATACAGATACCTACCCAGGCCAGAAGAGAACACTGAACCCCTAGACCTAGGTTTATAGGCAGTTGTGAGCCACTCTATAATGGGTGTTAGGAGCCAGACACAGGTCCTGTATAAGAATAGGACAGGCTCCTAACTACTAAGGCATCTCTTCAGCCCCTAAGCTGTAAGTTTTTAACAGAAGAAAGTTTAGAACAAAAAGATAACCCTGGAGTTATCTTCATGTCTTTGGAAAGTAGGAAATACTCCTTCTAATTAGATACTATCTTCAGAAGAAATCATAGTATGAAATGGGGAAAAGGGCACATTATGAGGAAAATGCCTATGAAAATATACTGGTACTGATAGGAAACTTTTCCACGCTGTTTCACATACCATCTTCTCTCGCTTCTTTGAGCACTCCGGTTTATCCGTATTCACCATCAGCTTATCCCTTCTCCTTCTCCTTTCCTTCCTTCTTTCCCTTTATTCAGTCACACCATTCTGTCCCAACTTTTCTTAGCCTTCTATGGTCTTTTTTGCAACTTCATCACTAAAACCTCTTCTTGGTCTCACTATCTTACAGTGTCACTTCTGTTCTAATTATCGTAAGCTAGTGGCTTAAAGAAGCACACATTTATTGCAGTATATTTATTGACTGAAGTTTGGAATGAGTCCCACAAGCATAGAATTGGAATTATGGCTGGAATACACTCCTTTTGGGGTGTATTTGGGACTCTACTGGAAAATCCCATACCCCTTTCCAACGTGGTCCATCCGTGTTTCTCCGTTCATGCTCACGTTAATGTTCAAGCCAGTAGAGGCATCTTCAAGTCTCTCTCTTCTTTGTCACATCTTCTCTGACTCTGTATCTTCAGACACTTGGATGGCCGAGGATAATCTCTCCATGCTAGCGTCCTGAATTTAATCAAATATGCAAAGTCCTTGTTGCCCTGTAAGGTAACATATTCACAGGTACTGAAGATGAAGAGGCAGATTTTGGAGGTGTTTGTGTGGCAGAGGGCATTGTTCTATTCTTCCTACTTCTTCCATAGCCCTTTGTATATCTTCTCCGGCTTTCGTCACCTCTCAACTTATTAGCTGAGCTGACTCGTTTCTTTTTGATTGGAAGTCTTTTGAAGGTAGGCGCAGTCATCTCTCTGCTCACCACTTACAGTCCCTATCAGGATGCTTAAATAGACAGTGCATCTATGTTAATTGACTGTTGCAATTAGTGAGAGAACAGATCTGTGCATGAAATGTTCAGTAAGAATCACATGTTTTGTTTTTTTTTTTTTTCCAAAGAGGATATTGTTGGTTGTTCTAAACGTTTCTCCTCCCCTTGCTCCTTTAGAAATTAGAAAAATTCTGTTTCTCAATATTTAATAGATACAAACAGAAAATACTTTTTAAAAATTACAACTGACTCACAGACTGTCAGGAAGCTTTTGAAGTAAATGGAAAGCTCTCCTAAATTATGCAACCATGAATATTTTTTAATTAAAAGAGTTAATGAATATTCCACAGGACAGAGCTGTCTTCCACGGTCTGAGTTTAATTGCCCCCCCCCCACACCTGATGGTTAATGTCTTTCTGAACCATTGTATTTTTGTAGATAAAGCCCATCATTTACCAGCTACCCTGGGGGGATAGATTGGTCCTCTCCTTTGCACATGCTCCAAGCTTACCTCGTTTGCTTACGGCAGGCTATTAGCTGTACCTTCTCTCCCTTCTTATCTAGGAGAATGTGATTTGTGTTGTTCTACTTGATTAACTTAGAAGCTTGGAACACAAGGTTATATTCATGAATGAGCTCAATGACAAGACTGAGGAGAAATGGGCAAAAAAAGTATTTTTATTTTTAGAAGATTTCAGAAATGTCAATTGTATTTAAAATTTCATCTGCCTGAATCGGAAACTTTACCATTGGAGTTTTATTTTTTGTTTAAAAGGAGTGCTATGAATTAATTTCTTTTAAATAGCTTACCTAAGTAATTATCCATAAATATATGGATGGCTGTTTGTTTTGATTTGTCCTATTTTGAACAGCTTGAAAAAAAATGCACATTTGGTTAAAAAAAAAGGTAAAATAAAAAATCATGTATAAAATAAAAGATGAAATAAATGAGGACACAGTTAGACTCATTCAATGGAAAGACATTTCATATCGCTATTAGTAAAACTATCAGTATTTCACAGTAATTTATAACAAAATATATTCTGAAATAATTACAAGACAATAACAAGAATGGAGAATACAATTTAGCAATGAAATAAGTATGACAGGGTTGAAGAGAAAATAAACTTTATAAAAATATTCCAATGCCATTTAATCATCCATTTTCATCATTTAGATAGCGTTATCAGCAATCTTTCTAGCTAATCTATACATATTGTTTTCACTGTAGCACTTTCAAGTTCAAAGTTTCAAATAAAATTATGGTAGTATCTTACCAAACCTCTACCTTGATAAGCCATTCTAAGGTTTAATTTGACTTCAGTAAACAAATGTATCATGGTTTCATAAACCTCTTGACCTGGCTATATATATATTGAGATCCTCAAAATGGTGCCATATGACTTGTAGATACAAAATTATAGAAAAATTAATGTATTGACATTTTTATAAGTCAAACAATTTCTTTTATAGTTTATTGTTACAAAATCTCATTTATAAATATTACTATTATTATGCTTTTATCAAAGAATGAAAACATACATAAAGTAATATACAGACGAGGCAGGTTATGTTTAGGAACATATATAAATATATGTATATATATAAAACAACAGCATAATATATATGACAATAATTAATGATAAAAGAAGCCATGAATTTGAAAGAGAACAAGAGTTGGTGAAGAGGGGAGCTTGTAGGAAGGAAAGGGAAGGGGGAAATGATGCAATGATATTATGACCTCAAAAAGTTAAAAAAAAAAAGAATAAGAAAATAAGGCATTGAAATGTCAGAAAACTTTATAATTCATTAGTTTTCTATTTTTAGAGTTAAATATTAAATTTTTCTGAAGACAACTTTACTAAAAATTGTATACTGTAACTTGACTTGAAATATGTTTTAAGTCATTTCCTCAGAACAATGCTGAACACATGGATAAAAGTGAAACAATTTTCACACCAGCTCTGACACTCCTGTCTCTTTAAGTTCTAACACCCATTATTTCAGTGATTTAGTCATTCACTCAATTCAGCATAATGAAACTACCTGTCTGTAGGCACTGATTGTCCTGGTACCTCTTTAGCAAGTTTTGGAACATGGGATATGGAGTAAAGTCATAACCCTTGCCTGTGTCTATCGTGAAAATATTTCCGCTATGTCTGATCACTAAGAGTGGAGCTGGGAAGATACATGCCATACATGAGTTGTTTCTAACCTGCTACTACTTTAAGGAAGAATCTGAACATTTTCTAAAAATAGTGTGTTCCAAAAGATTTTCATAGAAAAACCCTCAAATCCCGAATCCAGTGTATGCTATGAACGTGGTTAGTCTTACTAAATATTTAGTATCTAATTTAGTGAGAGAGATCCAGTCTATTATACAGAATATATTATACCATATGTGTGTAACATACATATTTGTTTTTAATTACGTGATACTTAATTTTTAGAGACTTTTATGTTTTTAAGAGTATAAAAAGTTTTTAAATTGCTCAAAAAAAAAACCGTATTTATGACTAGCTCAGCATTCCACTGTGAAGTAGACTGAATATTCTTCACTTAGCATGAACATTTTATTATCCCTGCATCTAATTCTTTCCTCTCTCTGAACCAGAAGCATAATTTATGGGAGAGAATAAGTAAGAATCTCTGTCTTATGGCAATCTTGTGGTTAGGCTAATGGTTCATGACAAAGGTGACTTCCGGACCTACGTTGTAGTTACTTTCTGTCTTATTTGAAGTGCTGATGACCGTGTTAGGCAATAAAAGGGCAGTGGATGGCTCCAGGAGCATTTTGCATTCTCTCTTTTTTTTAATTTTGTTTTTGAGGAGGCAGGGAAACAGAGGGCAGGACTGCAGGACCAAGCACACAGTAGACACAGGAGCTGGAGGAGTCAGGGATCCTGGGCTCTCAAGTGCTTCCTTGTGACTACAACAGATGTTTCTTCCAAGGCATCATTAAAGATAGTGTTGCCTGCTCACACCAAGGAGAATCCCCCATGTTATAAATTCCCATCGTTTTTCACTTTCTCCTAATTAATATTGCATCATTTTCTTACCAATTCTATTCAAAATATTAGCTCCTTGAAGAGGGAGGGAGGGGGCCTCAACTGGGATAAAAAGTGAATAAATTGGAATAAATTAAAAAAAAGAAAAGAGAGAACGAATGGGAGCCTATACACATCCTCTGAAAGACTCCACCCAGCAGGGTATTAAAGTAAACGGCTGAGACCCATAGATGAAATTTGGGTAGAGCAGAGGGAAATTTATGTAAGAGTGGGAGGATAGAAGGATCCAGAGAGGGTAGGACCTCTGCAAGAAGACCAATAGAGCCAACAAATCTGGGCCCAAGGAGGCCTGCAGAGACTAAAGCACCTACCAAGGACCTTGCATGTAGAGGACCCAAGCCTCCTGCTCAGATGTAGCCAATAGGCAGCTCAGTCTCAATGGAGGTTACTTAATAAGGGGACCAGGGGCTGTTTCTGACATGAACTCTGTTGTCTGCTCTTCGATCACATTCCCCAGGGGAGGCAGACTTGCCAGGCCACAGAGGAAGATGATGCAGGCAATCCTGATGAGACTTGATAGGCTGTGGCCAGATGGTAGGGAAGGAGGGCTTCCCTTTTCTTAGTATTAAGGGACAGAGGTGGGAGGAAGAGAGAGAGACCAGGAGGAGAGGGAGGGGTCTGTGATCAGGATGTAAAATGAATAAACTAATAAGAAAATTAGCAAAAAAATCTTAGCTCCTTGAAGAAAAAAAATAAATCTTTACCTTGTACTTGTTATTATCTACTTCTTGTTTGAAGATTCCTCAAATATAGTACATTTCCTATAGTTAGTTTAGTCAATTAAGCAAAATGATCTGATACTGAGAGTTGGAAATAAATTCTCTATCTGGACAAGACTTTTCAAACACACCAGGAGGCACTCTGCAGTATTTTTCTGACAGTATCTCTCATATAACAATTTTCAGCGTCTGTTTCATATTTTCTGACCACCCATTTTTATCCCTATACAACAGCTTTGTGTTGTTTAGTTGGCTGTGATTGGTTTTGTAGAGCTAGCGAGGCCTTGTCCGTGCAGATTTACTGTGAATTAACTGAAAATTAATGCTAACACAGGTTGCTCCCAAAGCTGTGGAATACTCCCAAGCTTTGGACTTCAGCTGTAACACATAAACTGGAGTCTATCATTTTCAGACATACCCAAACAGGGCTCTTACTCTGGGCCTACCAGCAAGAAGCAGTTGACGTGGCTGTTGAACCATTCAGAACATCTGCATGTGCTTAGAGTTGACTTGCTAGATAGCCTTTCAGTCTCATTTAAGTTTTTCAGCCAGTCTAACAGCAAAAACAGAGCTCAGAACTCATTGCTAATGAACTGAAGATTTTGAAAAGGAAAACGTTCAGAATTACCGTTAGATCTGAGGCCAGTGCTACCACTCAACCGAATCAGCTGTGGAAATTTGCTCATTCTAACTGGAGCTTCTGTGCCTCCTGCAGAAGAGGCTTCCCAGCCCTGCCCCGGAGAGAAGTGTTCTTTGGTCCTGGACTGCAATGGCTTGACCTTTTTCGACTACACAGGAGTCTCCACGCTTGTTGAGGTATCAACATGGCCTGGGTCAGGTCTCTTTCCTTTCCTTCCCTTCATCAGTATTCGTCAGCCATCTCAGCTATGGAGTCCAAGCCGCTTTCCCACAAAGGACATGGGACACGGCCTTATACTCCAGTAAGTTTGTCTCAGAAGACCCGCTTAGGATTCTAGACATATAGGTATGGAGGGGTCAAAATTGGAGAGGGAAAAGACTGAGATTTGAGCAGTAACGGACATGGTATCTGCCAAGAAGTGAATTTTCAATGCTTCTAGAATGGAGAAAAGTCCTCTCAGGGTACTAGCGCATCACCAAGCCAGTTCTCCCTGAACTCAGTCTGCTGCATTCTCCCTCATTACTCCTTGTTTTTTATGCATCATGGCTACATTATAACTTCTGTTAAGAACATAGGCTTTAAGGATAGAAATATTTTGATTCATAAACCAGCCAAACCAAACGCTAGTTCTGTGCCTGGAGCTAAATTCTTTTTTCTTTCTTTCTTTCTTTCTTTCTTTCTTTCTTTCTTTCTTTCTTTCTTGTCTTTTCTTTCCTTTCCAGGCCCCTCAGACATTTGCCTTTCTATAAACCAGAAGTAGAGATCTCCACTCATCACCTTGCTAGCTCACAGGAAATACACAATAAATTACTGGAGTGGCTAGCACAGTTTGTAAGCACTCAGCAATGCTAACAGCTATTGTTGCTTTTCTTAATTGAAAAAGTAATTTCTTGAGCAAGTGAGATGGCTCCGTGGGAAAAGGTGCTTGCCAGGGAAGCCTGACAACTTAAGCTGATTCCCTGAGCCTGCATAAACATGAAAGGAACAGAACTGACTCCACAGAATTGTTTTGTTTTGTTTGTTTGTATTTAATCTCCATTATGTGCTGTTTTGAGTTCATGGGTGAACAGAAACCTACACATAGAAGTAACTAATACATATATTTACATATATATAAATATATAAAAGTTTATGTATTTATATTTAAAAGTGAATATATATTTAGAAGTTTAAAAAGCACTTCTTCAAGTCATATATTTGCAAGCAAGATTATTTTTTAGTTCCAGCTACTCTGGGAAGCAGTTTGGAGCCGAGAGTAGCAGGGCCATCCTAGCCATGGCAGCTTCCCTGCTTTTTAGCAACACTCTGAATCGTTTGCTTTGTCACTTTGGCACAAAGAACACTGATCCCAGAGCCGTGGATTGAAGGGACCTGAGTGACTTCTAGTTATTCTTTCACCAGGAATGGGGGTGGAGGCCGGTGAACGGGAGATGATTTTTATCAACGGCAACAAGCCATCCGTAATAGCAGCATGTTCGTGCTCCGCTGGGCTAAAGCAAAAGCCAAACACTGAGAGGTCACCTTGAATTAATCACATTAACTCACAGAAGCAGGTGCCACTTATTCAATGTCAAAGTCAGAGCACACATTTTATTTATTTTTCGTTTATCCTCAATTCCCTTTAATCCACAGTTCTTATTTTTAAAGAATGGTTTACTGATGGAGGAAGATGAGCGAAATTACATATCTATAACATGCATGGCTACAATACATTTTAGAATGCGTTGTAAATGCAACTGCATATGTCTCGTGTATAAGATACATCACCGTCACATAACCAGTTCCGTCCAACTGAACATGAACCTTTATATGCACTTTTAGCCAGTCTTCATGATCTTACTTTGCTTTTGGTGAATTAAGATCAGTTGTTCATGAATCATTTCTGGTTGAGTTGTCTAGGAGGTTAGAGCCAAGGTCCTAGTGTACCCGTGCACTAGTTAGAATCTTTCACTTAGTGGACCTTTAACTCTGGAAATTGGTTCAGGTTTCAATGAGGTTTAATGGATGGGATTTATAGAGTGAATGAAATGTTCCTAGATTATGGCAAAGTAGTAAAGTAAGCAGGTCAGCAGCCTCCATCACTTCTGCAGATTGCTCCTTGACTTTCCATAAAAGATGTTGACAGTAATCTTACACCACTTTTACAAGGAAGAAAAGATTATGCTTTCATTTTTGTAAAGAAATGGTAACATGACCCCCTAAATTTAGTCTCTGTGGAATAAATGTTTCACAGTGTGAATCCTTAAGAGCTTGCTGGGCTTGTCCTCAACTGTGTCACAATGCCTCCCTCTGGTGGTTTGACTGAAGAAACATCATTTTTATCAGTTGTTTTCCCTAGGAATTCTCCTTCTCCCAAAGCCCGGTTATTCCCTTCAGTCCGCTCTTCTGAACTAACCACGAGTGTGCTCTTTTACTTCTTCCAGCTTTACCTCGACTGCGAGAGCAGGAGTGTCGATGTGTACTTCGCCAGTTGTACAGGTAAGGCGGTGTCCTCGGCTCGCATCAAGAGGGTCCTCTCGGCTGCTCCGTGTGTCCTTATGCACCCTGTGCCTTCTTGCAGCATCCTTGGTAAAAGCGATGGCGTACTGTGGAGATCTGGACACTGAAAAGCCAATTTTTTTTGACTCCGTACCTGCTGCAGTAAGTGCCGTCCAGTCAAATAAGGTGAGTCGGTTAAGTTAGCAAGCAGGGGCCGGAAGAAAAACTAGGATACAGAATCTTGGTAAGTTTTGTAATGGTTTCCCTCTCCACTGGTCTCTAAAATATATGAATATCCCTTCCCTGTGCATCTTTTACTTATTCTATTCCACTTTGTGGACAAGTTATGAACAATTGTTAAATAATTTGGGTCTTCTAATGTCATGGCCTGTAGAATTTGATGATCAACTATTAAATGCCAATTCTTAGCTATGCTCTAAGAGCCACTGTTCTAAAATTTGATCTTGACTCTCTCCAGTGCAGAAATAGTAAATATAGATTCTAAATACATTTTCTGCTCAGACACTCTTGTCGCTATGTTTATTTCTATTGTCATCTTTTGAAATGTTATTTATGGAACCTAGTCGTCACCCAACTACAAGTACATAGATGACTGTACAATATTGGGCATTTCGGTTTATTTTATAGTAATTTCCAGAGGTGTGGTTTTCTGTGATTTTTCTTCAGCTTTCGAATCATTTTACTTTTCTCATTCCTAGGACAGCATTAGTGCTCCCTACAGTGACTGCTCTCATCTTTAGTCAGAACATTATGAAGTCTCCAACTAATAATACTATTGTTATTGTCACATACAAGTACTGAGTGCCTACTGCATTCGAGAATGTTCTAAAGTCCTTACGTAGAGTAATTAAGTAAGCTTGCAGCTCAATACAAGGTACATATTCTCATTTAGCCAGATTTTAGAATTAGGAAAACCAAGGACAAGGAAGTTACGCCATTTAGCTGGTTTCAAAGTCAGATGGGGTGTGAGGCTTTCTCCCCCACTGCTGTGCTCTCACTCCTCTGAGAGCATCTACTTTCATGTCACCACTGGGTGGTTGGCTTCTGTTACTGCCATTCCTTCACTCTGGTACCGGTTGTGTGACATGGCTTCTTTCTTCCTCTTCCTTTTTAGAGCTTGAGCAAGGTCAGTGATCACAGTGAAGTCTGAGGCCCACGTGCTGACGTGCGCATCTCATCTCTAGCAGCTGCCCTGAAGAGGCCACAGACTGGCGTTTTGCCCAAGTTTTGGTGTGTAGATGGTGCATCTTTCAGTAAGAATGATGTGAGTTAGCAACTGCAGAGCCGCTAGCCAAGACTTGCTGACCCCTTATTTGTCTAATTTTTTTTTACTAAACACTTTCATCTAATTATTTCATATAGGCACCAATATAGATGTAGATTTAGTTTACTGAATAGTAAACAGCTTTTATTTCCTTTTATGAGAGTATTTTGTATGGTCTTATTTTTATTTTGCTGTAAGCTAACAAATGGAGAAACACTTTTTTATCAAATGTGGTTTGGATTATTTATAAGCCATTTGTAAAAAAAATTGAGATCATCTAACTAATACATTAATAATGTTAGCAAATGTGCCATTTCCCATAGTTTTTATCACAAAATTATTTAAACATCAGTAAGATAAAGTATCACTTTATACAGTGAAAAACGAAATCCACAGAAAAAAGACAAAGAAGTTGTTAATGTCAGTACCCATTGACACAATCACTCTGACAGTATTTACGCCTTCAGCTATAAGTTTGTATGTGGAAGAAAACTGATGTTGTAACAAAACTATGTTCTTGGCATTAGTCTGCTTAGATATGGATACTGGAAACCATTAGGTATTCAATTAAATAACTCATTTCTGCATTGCCACAATAAGATGTTCTGCTTTCAGCCTTATTTTTAATCGTAATCAGAGAATATGAGAATTTTGCATCTAATTTTTTTCAGAAATATGATTATTTTAGAAAGAAAAATACCATGAGTAGAATAGCTTTGTGCTATTTTGATGCAAGATTAATTTAGAAATTGTGAATTTTCTATTTGAGAGATACCAAGTCAGTGAAATGTAGTATGTTATCTATCTATATGAAGATAGATATCAAATAGACAGATACACAGACAGAGAGAGATGACAAACGGACAGATGACAGGTAAATCTCTCTGGTACATTTTCCATTTTATTTTGTAAGAAGTGAGCTTGGATGCTACAATCTGTAAATTTACCAAAACAATAGGATAATTGACAACATTAATGGGCAGATATGTTTCATGCTTGTATATTTTATTTTTAATTATATACAAGTATGCAATTTTGTAATTTCTAACAAATTTATATATGAAGTGATAGATTAAATTACACTTTATTCTTAATGGCATTTAAACTATTTTAGAAACTAACACTGTCAGGGAAAGCCAAGTACTGCAAAGGGAGTTTGAAAAGCAAGTTAAAATAGAAATTAAAAATTGGCCATCTAGTGTGGCTCTTATGGGCATCTGTAAGAGCAAATTCTAACTCCTGTCCAAAGATTGGAATTTTCCTCAGCAAATGCATGGTAAATACATGACTCTTAATTTTAACACCTCAGTCTTTGATAGGGTGAAATAATAAAATTTAAAGGCCAAAAACAGTGTTACAAAATTTTATAGTCATTTTCATTTTCACTTTCACTGAAACAAACTCAAAAGAATGGTGTTGGTCATCCAAAATAGCCTCAATCTCTTTAAGGCTTATTTGGGTAGTACCAAGTAAAGTTGGGGGTGGAGAATTAGAAATAGTTTTCATATAAAAAGGGATTTTACTCTGCATCATCCATTTGCATTAGTCTAAAGGTAGTGATATTCTTCATTCCCAACCCATTGGTCCCTGCAAAAGAATCACAAGTCATGGAAAGCCAAGAAAAGAAATATGCTATGGTACATATAAAATGATATTTTGCTATATAAGTTTGGCCTATAATTAAACTCATGCATTGTAGGCATTTTTAATTTGTTGTAGACTATGGGCCATGGCTGATATTAAAATCATTACAGGTAATTGTTGGATGGTTTGTTCTGTTTTGTTGTTAATGCTGAGACAATATTGCCTGAGAAATTGCATTTGAGTTCATTTAAGCATTTACAGTATAAGTTTAATGCATAAAAAGTTAACATCATTAATTTCAGCATCAACTATTGTTATAGTCAAAGACAAGGAAGACCAAACCACACACTATATAAGGTCCACAGCCCAATAGTTTATGTCAAGACCACAATGCCTACCCAAAGAAAGGAGTTAAGTTTTGAGAGCCTAAGAACTGCATCTAAGTTTTGAACATACAAGTTTTTATTTCAAATCAGAAGCAGAGAACACAGAAGCTACAACATGGCTCCAGTGTTGCAGTATTTTCTATCAGCACACTGACCTGTTCTTACAGGGCCACCTTATTTTCATATGATAAACTCCTTCCATAGTACTTATAGTGAAATACCATTAAAAAACAAAACTGACCTATACAGGTGTTAAGAACATTAATGTGGCAGATATGAAATATGTAACCAGGAAAGACCATTAACATTAAACATTACATTTATGCAAATTAAATGCCCTTAAATTTTTGCCATTTGTCTTTCATTTTAAAAGGTTATTTGCCCTCAATTCTATAATTTCAGTATTATAGAGTTTAGCTTAAACTACTTTGCAATAATTTATTTGACAGATCTCCATTCCATAACTACGCAAGGTAATGAGGACAGAGATCTTTCTTTTTTAATGAAAACATTAACACGCTAATACCCCATATGAATAATGCTTGACATTTAATGGTTGTTGAAATCTGTTGGTATGTTGCTGAACATTCATACAACTCTGAAATGCCAGTTCTGTGCTGTGTGGGTTGATGATCTGATTCAGGCTCACATGTGCTTGTTGGGAGTGAGTTTATTGCCAGAGTTTAAATAGGGAGTTAAGTGGTGCTTTCAGAATCCAAAGATTTATAGTTTAAAATCATGTAGTATAATATGCTGCACTTATTTTTGTATTTTTCAATGCACTTAATTATTGTTTTTATAATTATTTGTACTAACTCAGCATGTAACAACCAATTTACATGGAAATAAATTGAAATATGATAACTATAGTTCTTAAGTGGGTTTGTGTTCATTATTTCAGAGTATTCACTCCCCTGCAAAGAAAATAATACATACTGTTTTCTTGCTCTGACCTCTATAATATGTGTTGAAGATTCTTCGAAGTGTTCATTATATTCCTAGCAATTTGTTCTTACAAAATTTCAGCCAAGGCCTGTAAATTGATTTATGCAGTACTGAAGGGAATGTGTCTTTTCTGTTGTTTTTTCTTTTGATCTTGTTTTTGTTAGTACTTCAATTGCACAACGCTCTTTTGCCAGATTTATATTCTTTTTGTTCTGACTTTAATTTGTCTACTTATTTATTTATTTTGCTTTTGTCCTTTGCTATGTGTGGTTTTTTTTTTTCTTTTTTTCTTTTTTCTTTTTTTTATCTTTCTTGGATTCTGAGGCTGAGTTCAAGTTTAATGATGACTGTTCACAAACAAGAAAATAAAACATTTTTGTTCTTATGCATTGGAAACACAACAGAAAATAAAAAGAATGCAAACAAAACATCCTTGCCTTCCCAGTGCTTGCATTATAACTAGGGACTTCAGAAAATAAAGAGGAGGTGCTTAAAAATTTCTATTGTGAGTTTGATGTTAATGTACTAAGAACATGAAAAAGAAAGGCAAATGTATACTGTGAAGTTAGACAGCATCTCTTAGATGGCTGCCAATACAAACAGCAGTGTCTTAGTCAGCGTGGGTTACTGTGACAAATACAAAACTCAACAGGCTTAAATACTATTGTGTTTTCCTTACAAGGGCCCACCCTCAGGACATCATGTTTAACCTTAATTACTTCCTGATAGACATTATTTCCAAATAGAATTGAATCCATAGCATTCCCTCCTTGGCATCTCCTGTATTCATGCTTTTTTTTTTAATTTAAAAATACATTTGTTTAAACTCTAGAACCCCAGATGTCTTAACTCTGCCTAGCACTAGCACTAGCTCTGACATCTAATCTCTAAATATTATCTTAATCATATATGGAGAATTAGAGGTATGATTTTTGACAAAATTTCTCCCTAACCATGAACCTGTGCAAAAAGCAAGTTATACACTCCCAAAAATGCAGTAGAAGGGCAAGCAGAGGAATGATGCTCTCTTTCCAAAGAACACAAATGAAAAACAACCAAGTAAAGAATGCATCGTGCCAAGTTCACTAGATTCAGATTCATTAAACTGTTTTCAAGCATCTATCTATCTATCTATCTATCTATCTATCTATCTATCTATCTATCTATCTATCTATCTATCTATCT